GCAGAACCCTGATAGCTCAAGGCCCTTTATCCAAAAATAATACACAGTCTATATGTCAGTTCATTGTGACTACCATGTTTTCCATGAACTACTCAAGAGCCTAATAATCCTTGCTGCTGAAAAACCATATGTCTCAGTCTTGTCTGAAAAATCACCTTTACAATAAAATGTGAAACTAATTATAAACCGTCTGTTCACAGGAATCTATGGCAAGAAGATAGGTTTCCCTGATGAATAAATAAAAGTCTGACAGGGTTATTTACTAAAGTGAGAATTCAAAGTGAAATTCAAATTAAAGGTCAAAATAGCCCATCTGGAGAATCTGTAAGTCAGCTATGCTTTCAGTTTGGCCACTCGGACCGTAAAGAATTATTCCAACTTTATTAATTAAAATTGTATTTTAATTCAGAATTTCATATTGAGCATTAGTAATTACCTCTCCCCCCCCCCCCTTATTATATTGCTATAAAATAAAGAATAAACTTACCTGGAATCAGGCTTCGATTAAAGACCTCATGGACCTAGAGTGAAAAGTTTTAATGTACCTAATTACATCAGTTTATTAAAGCTTATGATGCTAGGAGTGTCCTAGTGCCTGCGTTGTAAGTAGTCAATTAATTTTAAAACAATTTGACTTCGTACCTGTAATAAACGTTTAACTCGCAAGTTGGAATAAACTTGGAATTAATAATAACATTAATAACTAAAAATAATAACTTAAAATAATAACTTAAAAACCGAGTGTAAAGTCAGAGTCCACACTCCTTGCTTTCGGCAATTCAATAATATTTATTAATAAAGGCTAATCAAACAAATAAACAATACATATACATTTGAAATAGGCTAGTATATGTTGCTACTAAAACTAATCATTGACTGAATGGAAAGTAGGCTAAATTAACATAGTAGAACAGGCATAGACACGTGATACAGTTACCACTCCATTGATCAGCAGCTGAGAGTAAGAGAGAGGGTGTGTACAGTGGGGAGAGGGGAGAGAGGAGAGAGAAGGTGAAGAGAGGTAATTCAAAGAGAGAGAGAATGTGCTATTCACAGGGCTTTAAACAGGTTAGCCCCTCCTTCTGCTGGACACACCTCCCTTAGTCAATCCCTTAGGATGTAACAGAACCAGAGTGCCTCCTGGGGGAAGGGGATTGCATTGGAAGGGAATGGAGGAGGAGTTTATCAACAACCCAACTGATTTTGCCTGGTGAAAGGCCATGTGCTTCACAGAGGACTCCATTATTGCCTAAGGGTAGAATGGGGGCTTGAATCCCTGTATTAGAACACAATAACACTTCATTGGCATACAGTTTGGCTGTTAATCACATCCCCCCACTTATTACAGTACCCGTGATCCGTTTTCTCCCCAACTCAACTCAACTCAACTCAGCCAGAGAGCCAAAAACTTGCGTTGTAAGTAGTCAATTAATTTTAAAACAATTTGACTTCGTACCCGTGATCCGTTTTCTCCCCAACTCAACTCAACTCAACTCAGCCAGAGAGCCAAAAACTTTTGCTTAGGAATTTTCATTAGCTCTCCTGAACTAAGCCCTGCATTGCAGTGTTGATTCGTTGGCTGAAAGCATCAGCTGATTGCTCACAACCAGTCATACAGTGTAGGCTTAGTTCAGACAGAGATCTTCTGAATCTTTTTGAGCTAAGGCAGTAAAAGGGAGGAGAAGATCTCAGGTAATTATTCAAAAATTCTGAAATTGTTGGCTTACTTACAATAAGGGGTGTCAGGGTACTACTGCCACCAAAACCACTACATAATGCTGTAGATGGTATAGTGCTTGCAGAGTTTCCTTTAACTGGAAATTGCAGACATATCTAAAATTATAACTAAGTGCTCATATAAATTACAATTTCTGGGTATATTTACATCCTTAATTACACACTGGATAGATCAGTCCTATATAGAACTGTCTGCACATGACTTTTATTGATGTTTTGCCACCCTAGGTCTTGCCAAGTTTATTCACCCTAACTCCTATATACAATACGGGGTTTGTTCATACTATATAAAATGTAGTGAACTGAAATTTATAATTAAGGCAACAATAGCATAATACAATGCATAATTAAGGCATCAATAACTGATTAGGAGAAATTCTCCTATCAATTGTAAAAACATCTTGGTTACTTTAGACTTTTGCAATTCAGATTTTTGTTTTGCTACAATTGGGTGGTTAGTATATACCCTGTATATCACACCCTGACATATATGTATGTAATGTGAGAAATTCTATTTTTATGAATGTGTTTCTACGTGTCTGATATATATCCATGTGTAATGCATATTTACATTTTGCTGTTGGATTTAGAGATATAATGTGTGTACATTTTGTGAGGCATATCAGTGTATTTAATGTATCTATTGTATGTATATGTTGTGCATACATGCTTGGGTAGTGAAGGTTCCTTTTGATCTCCTTATCTTTTATATATTGAGGACAATTACGATAATAAACTAGAGCAGGGACACACATGATGCCAGCCTCCATGTCAGTTATACAGGGCCCAATATGTTAGTTTAAACTGAATACACTTATGAATTATGTCAAATAAAGTTAAATAGGCGTCCATGAACCCATGGTTTTTATTTAACCCAGAGTTCACATCATCAAACATATTTATACATTTGAATTACCATACATTTTTCATTCAATCTGTGGTTTGAACTTGCTTTCCAGTATGGACACTTTCATATCTTAAAGACTGTGGCCAGGGCTCTTCAAATGTTTGCTCACATGAGAATCAGTTTTCTTGTTATTAATTTTATAGCAATTAAGGTTAATTTAGTTGTGCAGTTTCTGACCCGTCTCCTCAACATAATTTCCTCCATCTTTGCCTTTGGTGAACATTATGATGTACACTTTATTTCTTGAGGTACAGGATAAGGACCCTCTAGTTCTATATTCCTTCTGTTTGTTTGGTGGTTGGATAATTCAAGTGAAGAGAATGTGTGAACAAGTCTTGCTCCTTTTTTTGCTGACAAGTAATTGAAACATAGAAACATAGAAGGTGACGGCAGATAAGAACCATTTGGCCCATCTAGTCTGCCGAATGGTAATGTGCCTTGACTACCAGGCTGTGTTGACCATAAATCAAACCACATGGCACAGATGAGTGGGTAGAAAAGGCCACAGCCATTTTTATTTATTAAAACAGTCATTGTCTCCAATTAACAATAACTATATATTGAACCTTCTAACAACATTAGGCAATGACAATGTTTTTAACACAGGGTTTACATGACCATAAATAACGTACACACCTTAATTAACATAATTACCATTAACAATTTAACCTTTCCAGCACCAGACTGTTCCCAGGAAACCCTGTGTTGGTACCAATCCAACCACTAGGAAAGAAACATTTGCCCAGACCCTGTTTAGGAATAGAGCGCCTCTGCTGACTCAAAACCTCTTGCCAAGCCTCCATTAGGCTATTGCCACATCCTCATTGTGAGGCCATAGACCATCCCCAGGAGCAAGCTACTGCCAAGGCTGCAACAATGATCTCCTCTGGCACTACTGTCTTTGTGTGCCTCTGAAAAAGAAAGAAAACTGTCAAAATATGAAAGTAGTACCCAAACACCCGAAGTCCCATAAGCCACCAAACTAGTGAGCGGGGGACAACATACAGCAAATGACAGTTGCAAAACTAAAATGGCATTTAGTGTAACTGTTACCGCAGCCTCTACATGCCCTATCCCCACAATGCCCCTCCTCCTTTCTGTATCCACCTATCTATAGTGCCTTGATCAGCACAAGCTGTCAAGGCCCTCCCCCACATATTTGTCTCTATGGGGCTGCAATGTTGCTGTTCTCCGTAATGTGGAAAAATTATTTGTCAGCTATGTTTTCAGTTTGGCTACTCTGGCCTTACGTTTAAAATTCACTGTTAATTCACTTTAAATTCTAACTTTAGTAAATACCTCTGTTTGTATTCTTACTTTAGTGAACAATTCTGTAAGAGAATATATACTTTATTAACAAATGCACGTACCTGAAATATGTTCTTTCTTGTATTGTTAGATATTTGAATAAGCTATTTATCTATTTATCAGTCAGTTTGTCAGTCTGTCAGTCTGTCTGTCCATCGATCTATACAGTAAAATAAAAAATAGTTAATAAATAGAGTACCAGTAGATAAAAATATACAGTTTGATTGTATTTGCACAATCTTAGGGAGCAATAAACATTTTGGGAACAGTACACCTTTCTCAGTGATACTTTCATGTCTTTTAGTCTGTCCGTCTATCTGTCTGTACATGTGTCTGGATATAGACACGTGCACATGCATGTGATTTAGAGAGACAGGTCTCACGGCAAATTAACTTACCGTCCTCCCAGATTTCATTTTAAATATTGACACAAAGCATTTTAGACATTGGTCTACATATTTCATATATTGAGAGTATTCCGTATACATCCAAGAAAACCTCACATATTCATTTCTTCAAGCAACAAATAATGTGGCACTTGTAAAGCGAAGCTGTGAATGACATTCATAAAGGAACAATAAACACTCACATTTATGGATTCCACATCAATTCAACTTTTAAACATGAAAAAAGCCAGCACTTATGTTTGCTGCAGTAATGAACAACACAATATTACTAGGCATTAAATGATACAAAAAACAGATGCATTTTTTCCATTATCGATTAACTTAAAATTTATCTTGACATTGTTTTGACAGCCATAAATAAATGATCAACTTCCTATTGATTGCTATTGATGACAACAGATTGCATGTTTTGCAAGTATAAAACATTTTAGATGAATATAATTTTACAGGTTTTTTTTTTACAAAGTCATACTTTTTAATCTAAAGAAATAAAAATTAAAGTTGCTTTAGAACTAATCGCTAAACTTTATACACAACCTAAATGTTATACCAGAAAGTGATTAAATGAAAATGAAAATAGTGATTGTTTTAATTTTTATTTACATCAGCCTGGCAATTTAAATCATTGTAATATATATATATATATGCCCATGTTGTCTCTGATGCAATACTATTTATATATATATATATATACATATATATATATATATATATATATACATATGGTATTGCATCAGAGACAACATGGGGATTTTGAGCAGATTTTTGTATGTGCTGCTGAATTAAGCATACTTTATATCTGTGCATCACGAGCGTGCACTTTAGTTAGTGACAAAGCTGACAGATTAATTTTAGTACATAGTATAATCATGCTTAACAGTTTATCACCTTAGTATCATCATTGTATTCAATGAACAGACTGGCAACTCTGGCCTAATATTTAGGTTTAAAGACTACTGTCTTTATTGACCCTTGTGGTGGCATATGGTTTCACCAGATCTTGCAACATTAGGTCAAAAAATGATGTGCCTTTTATGAGTCCTGTTTCCAATATTTCTGTACTAGTGGGAATAATTAAGGAAATGACTGCTCTAGATGAATTCCACTATAGTTATTTGCAGTATTATTACATCCCGGAGTGAGTGTGAGAGTTTGTGCTTCACCTATTTGCCGACTTAATTTACTGTTTTGTTTTAAATGTATATTAAAGAGTTAGCAAATGAAGAGGAGAAATAGAAACATTATTTAATTTCTCTTCTCTGCATGCTTTCTCTGTGCTGACTGTCAGGTGCAAAGGACAGTCTATCCTGTCCAGTTGCAAGCTAAAGATGTGTGGATTTCTACATTTACTTTAATTTAGCACCTCACAAATACAGATTTTTAAATATTGGGATACATAAACATAATATTAAAAATGTGATATATCCCCTTTAAACTTAATCAGTACTTCTGTTGTAATGGGATGTGATTCCACCAAAGATCCAACCTATTCCATCTTAACCTAGTAGACTACATTAACCGAAAACCACAGTGGTTGCATTCATGAAGCAAGCGTCATGGCATATTTTCTCCACACCATAGCAGATAGCATATGTTAAAACGGAACTGTTACTTCTCCACAATTCCTAGGTAGAGAATTAGCATCAAAGTGGCTGGAGCTTCAACAGACCTTCTGATAGCCCCACCTCTCAAGGATAGTTCTTCTATTTCACATAATAAACTGCCACAAAAAAAAAAAAAGTTAACTTGAGAACCCTATAAAAAAATATATATATATATACTAAATGAATTATGAGTTTGAGGCAGATTCATTTTATTGTATCTTGACCCTTGGCTGCAAACTCTGTAGTCTTAAATTTCCAAAATGTGCAGATAGACACTTTAATGGGAAACTGCCACTATTCTAGTACTTACACCATTGGATTAAAAAATTCAAAAATCACCTATAACTTGTGTTATCTTTTTCATTTTAACGAGAAGATCTTTTTCTTTTCCATTTTTATGATTTTACAAATTACATCATAATCCAGTTCAAACAAGGTAAACACTGAGGCAAATTAAGGGAAACAATAGAAACATTGTGTAATTTCTCTTCTTCTCTGTATGTTTTCACCATGGTGGCTCATAAAGTATAAAAGAAAGAGCTTATAACAATAACTGACAGGAAGCTAAGATGGACGCAACAAACTGCAAAATAAAGAGGTGCCCATTTGTACATTATTTGCTGAGAGGGAATAAAATGAAACTCTCTTAATAATATTGCTTTGTTTTGTGTGATAAATATGTTGTGTTATGTGGTATATTCAGTGTTTTGGATTATGAAATGCTCTTGTCATCCATTTTCCTTCCTTTGACATCAGAGTATGATGTATAGGCTGTCTAGTACTGTGATCTATCTCCTTCTTGGTCATGGACCTGTACATGAGCTCGATGTTACCTGAGGCTCTTTTTGTATTTTCTGAGCAATTTGTTTTCAAAGTATAATATATTAATATGATGCCATTTCTGGAACTACTTTGCAGCCTCTGATATACCACGTCTACATGGGATGTTATATTTCTAAAGTTTTTGTTTATGGCATATTATAACTGATGGATTATAATCTTTGTAAAACAGTCAAAGGAAAGCATTTCTGATCACTGAAGCTGCTCAATATTTATTGCATTTTATATTACTGTATATTAACTGTAATAACTATTAATATTTAAATGTACTTATAAATACAATATAAGTTATAATGCTGATATTGCATAGTATAAAATGTCTAAAAGATTATTTTTTTCCCAGTAATTGCTTAAAGTATGTGACTGCACAGTTGAAAAACAACTCACACTTGATTTTTAGATTTACAATTAAAATAATTGTAAAGTTAAAGGTCCACTACACAAGAAATAAATAAATAATAATTGCTTAGTACCAAAATCAGGGTGGGACTTTGAAAAAAATCGACCCCAGTATTTTTTAATCACAGAAGTCCAGTGGGAGGAGGTGTGGCCAGGGAGGTGGCATGGCCAGAGAGGGGGCATGTTGTGTCACTACCAAAGACAAGCATGCCCCCCTTCAAACTGAGCAGGTTGGTTGAATGCTAATTCAAGGCAGGCCAAGCGCAGGGTCCTGCTGAAAAGGAGTCACAATAGGAAAGAGCCCTCTTTATTCTGCGCAGCCCAAGCAATTTTAATGGCACTCTTTTAATGACACAGTGAAAACAAAAGGGATTAAATACTACTTAAATATAAGAACCTTTGCTCTGGTTGTAATTCATATTACTCCAGTATACTGTAGGATACTTTTTTTGCACTACTTTTGCTTACCATGCTGATACTCTGTATTGGAACAAGTCATTAATAAAATAAACAAACAAATAAATAAATACATTACAAATGTGTTCTTTTGCATACTCTATTGATAAGCAGGAAAGCATTGCATAAACCCATTTAATATTGCATGTACACAATTATATGACAGATTGCATCTACTTGAAATGTATTGTTGTATATGATATAGCCCTGGCACAAATCCTTGATTCACAAATGAATGAAAAAATTTTTTTACAGACTGTAGTATATTTCATTGAAATACAATTTTTTTTTTTATATATATACAATATTAGGTCTATTAACATTTCCATTTATTGCAATTTTTTAAATTTTTTTTTTGCTTTTCATCACAGTTGGTTAGGGAAAGGGTAGTGGTTTATTTAGATCTACACAGAGCTTGAAATGAAGCTATAGAAAGGTGACCCTATGCATGTTGGAAAATATTTTTCAGATTCCAAACTGACAAACAGTTGTTAGAGTTACACAATATGGTCAGGACAGCTTCTGAGTCATGTCAAGCCTAGTTATGGTTCTTGATACTGCTTATGTGTTTGTGAACCTGATTCATTTTTTATATTCACCATATGTAAACTATTGGCATTCATGGCAAAGCATTCATCAGTCCCCCATGTAAATTATACTGGGATACCTGGATGGCTCCTTCTGCTTTACAGAGGCAGCACAGTAGTTTCTCGCATTGCATATGTGCATTGTCCAATGCAGAGCTTATATCTTCTGGCACCCTTGGGCTTGAAGATTAACCTTTTGGAGTTGTTCTTTTTGGAATATTCACATTTTCCTTTTCCATTATTGATCTCTCTTGATTCTTTACTTGTTTAAAAGTTTTCCAACCACTGCTGTGTTTCCATAAATACACATCATCAATCTCACACATGATATAACCAAGCTCTATCTTTTTTTGCTCCAAGTGACTTTGATCCTTTTGATTCTCCTGCTGCCTAGTGAAGATACCAAACATCATCTCTTTTATGTTTTTTGCTCCTTCAGATGCACCTTTCCAGAGCACCCACTCACTCCTCTTTTATCCCAGGCACTTCACTCTTGGTTGTGTAATATAAGGTTTGCACCTTCCTTCACCTGTATCACCGATTTGCAAATGAAGAGACCCTATACCCTGACAGCATTTGATGGTAACGGTATTGGCATTCTGATATATTTGACTCACAAAGATTTCTGAGAGCATTTGAATAACTTACAAAATATGTTCACTGCTGCTGTCATATGCAGCTTGCAGAACAATATAACATTTCTACATGTACAAATTAAAGGAACATTCTAAGGTTAAAATAAATACATGTTTAGATAACCTTCCTTTATTACCTGAGATTTGAAACATTAAAAACAAAACCAATGCATGTTTACTTGTAATTCTGTATCATGAAAGTCTTATCTCAGCAGTTGCTCTGCCTCCTGTGAGATCATCAGCATTGTTGATCTTTGTCCAATCCAGAGTTTCTCACATAATGCATTGGGGACATATGGCACATGACCGGCAGTGAAAGCTGCTTCTGTGTCCCTAAATATGTACACAATCCCTCAGCTCCAGTCATGCAGAAAAAAAAATATTACTATCATCCGAGAGCGGCTTCACATCCCATTACTTGCACATGAGGCAGGAACAGAACTTACTTAATGGAAATACTGCTGTAATCAAAATTATTTACCTCCCATTGCAAAGTATGTTTATTGTGAAAATGCATTGACTTTCAGCTGTTTGTAATGAACAATCAAACAAATCAAACATTGAAATCGCTCAACACAATGAATGTGTCAAGTGGTTTTCACAAATTCAACTGAAAATGCAACTTATAATGACTTCTTTAGTTTCAAAATTATTCAATCTCCTTAATAGAATTCCTCACAAAAGCACAAATATCCAAAACATGTGTTGTTTCAAGCACACCTCATGGAAATTATTAAGGGCATCATTAGTTGATCTGGAACACTTGACATACCTGAGCTGGCTAGGGGATTTTTGAGTGTCACGTTTGACTACATGTAAGAAATTTGGGTAAGTCAAAAGAATTGTGCATAAAGTTAAGAAAATAGATCATTTCCCTTCACAAACAAGGAACAGGATACAAGTTCAAAGTTGAAGGAACAGGGGTTTCACTACCTGGAAAAAAGAAACTATCAATGGCTGCAACCAGATTTCTGAGAAGGCAGGTTGTGAAAAAACCTCAAGTGACTGCAAAAGACCTGCAGCAAGACTTGGTGGCAACAGGTACGGATAGGGCGCGTACAAAAAGCAGAAGGTTGCCATGCCAGAACTCCAAACATTCACCACTACTGAGCCAAAAACACAAGAAAGGTTGGCTACAATATGCTCAAATCATATAAATAAGCCACAGACATTTTGGGATTCTGTTCTGTGGAGTGATTAAACAAAACTGGAACTTTTCGCCCCAATAGATCAG